ATTCTACAGAAACTCTTAAAAACTATTTGTGGCAGTTAAAGGACAAACCTGCTGTTGATAGCCTGATACCAAAAGGAACTCTTAGAAGTCTTGTAGTATCCATGCCTAATCAAGTAAGTGTTATTTTGTGTACAGTGAGCTTGTACAATAGAGCCAAGAAAATATTTGTAGCTTTTGAGTCCCTTGAATGATTTCTAGTTCAATTATTGAACAATATTAATATTTGTACTTAAGTGGAAGATCAAAACAAAACTTTCATTTTTCTAATGAAAAAATAGGTATTTAAATCTATAAACCCTGAAAAAATTACTTAAATTTTGCATTTTGCCCATTTAAACTTTTTGGGAGGAATTTTTCCAAAATATAGGAATAAAGGTCTAGATAATGATTTTCTGATAAATACCAGAAAGTTATGTTGAAAACTGATATTTAGTGCCCAGCATATGGTATCAAAAACAAATAAGGATCAGTTTTCCATATGAAAGCAACTGAGTACATTTTCAATATTTTCACCGAAACAATTTTACAACATTTTACAGATTTAATTTTTTTTTAATATTTGGGAAGTTACACAAAAAAGGAGAAAAAAAAATTCCTTCTGCCTTTTTTGTTAGTGCTATTTACAGTTGAGGGATCAGAGAAAAAAGCAGGTAAAATATGGCCAAAAAATTGTATTAATTTGACTGAATTTTTTATTATAAGCACTCTAAATCAGCCTGATACAAGTCATTTTTTAACATGTATGTCAAGTTGAACCTGCCTATTTCTTACAACATTCATTTCAACTAGCTTTCAATGGCTTTCTGAGTAGAAAAAACAACTATCCATGATCACCTAAAGGTAGATTAAACATGTGTGAGCTTTGATTAACTTCAAACAATCCTAACTTGACAAATATTTGAGTTAGGACAAAGTTAGACTAGTTCTGAAACCCTGAGATTGTCTGCTTTCAGATCAGCTATAGAACATATGACTTGTTCCAAAAATGCCAATTGTCCACTTGAGCACATGAAAAACATCTTTTTTGCCTTCTGATCTTATATGTAATAAAATCAGAAATACGTAAATTTTAAACTGGTACATGTACAAAGCTTAGCACATCATAAAATTAGTAATTGAACTTTGGGATAAATGTGATCTAATAATTAACTGATCAGTATTTATCATTAGAAAACTCGGTAATGAGCAAATGAGTTTCATCAAACAGAGACCAGTTCTTTAATGATACATGAAAAATTTTTAAATATTTGTTTAAATTCAGTGAAGTATAAAGTAGATAATTTTCAAGCAAATGCCTTTTTTAAAATTCCTGGATGCAACATAAAAAAAAAAACAAAAATTAAATAAAAAATATTTACCTTTTGATTTCAAGATATTAAACTATATATACACATAAACTTGTTTTTATTACTTCAAATGTTATAGTGGATACTTCATATTTGAAATAGACAACCCATTTTCATTTGTTCTGCATTAAATCTATCAGCCTGTGCAACTAAAAATTGTTTGCAAAGAAAATGCCTCCACCAGCAGAAATAGAACCTATATCCCCCTTGTGGAACAATTTTTTTGATAAAATTTCTTGTGTGTACAGGCCAATTGATGTAATACACACTATTTATATACGAACTGTTGTCATCATCTACATTGTTGTTTATACGTTTTGGCTGTTATACATTCTGGCCTTCATCAGGTGATTATCCACCCAGTTAACCTGCAGGGAATTCCAAAATCAACCTTTTATTTAATCTACAGGAGTGACTACACCTGTAGATTAAATAAAGGATTCAGTTCTGAATTCCCTGTAGGTTACCCACACCAATATACACCTGATGAAGGCTGAAGGGTACAAGGGCTGAAATGTTGTTATAACAGCAACAAAGATGGGGACAATAGTCCATGTGTAAATAATGATAATGCCTCATACCAGAAATTCAGAGAGTAATGCACATTGTCTAGTAAATAAAAATGGGGTGTCCATTTCAAATAAAATGTATCCACAATTTGAAGTTATAGAAATGTATCCACAATTTGAAGTTATAGAAATGTATCCACAATTTGAAGTTATAGAAATGTATCCACAATTTGAAGTTATAGAAATGTATCCACAATTTGAAGTTATAGAAATGTATCCACAATTTGAAGTTATAGAAATGTATCCACAATTTGAAGTTATAGAAATGTTGGAATAAAAATAAATCCATTCATTTTTCAGAAATTACATCCACTTACACATGGAGACATTTTTAGGATAACAGTTGGAAATAGCAAAATATTGTAATAAGAGTCTGAGACTCAGAGGTCATGGCATTTTCAATGTATTTTTATCTGAATGTACCATCTATGATCTCCCTATGATTAATAAATACAGCACTGGACTGTTTCAGTTTAGTAAAAATTAGATGGAATTAGTTAAAATGTTATTTTAGGGGGAAAAATATATAATTAATACATAATTATATATACTTTCTTTTCTGACATTTCTTGCTTGTGAAACTCTTTCAGCTTCTTGTTTTCCAGTCAAGTTTGATCTTGAAAAATTAAAATGCAATGTCAATGATTATATTTTATCTTCTTAATTCCTGTTTATTTTTATTTTCTGAGTCCTTAATGTTTTTCTTTTTCTTATATCCTTTCACTTGCCTTGCTTGTGGAGAATAGATTTATATATATATATATATATATATATATATATATATATTTTAGCATTTCACCTCAAGCAAGGTAGGAGTGCTACCAGTACTCAAGAGGCTACAGAGAGCGTAAAGGAAAACACTTGGTATAGGGGTGATTGAGGAAAACGTAAAAAAAAAAGAACAGATCAAGGCAACAGAAGATGTTGATTGACATTATATTTAACTTTTTGAAGATTATAGTTATCAGTGAAGCAAATAAGAAAAAGGGAGTTCCACTGTTGGGAAGTGTGAGAGAAGAACCTGTTGAAGTAGAAGCAGTTACATTTAACTATTTCAACATTAAAAAGTGGGACCGAGATGCCAACTTAGTAGGATGCTTAAATTCATGTAGTTGGAGCAACAGTGAAAAAAGCTTGTCAGAGCAGATGCCATGAAAATATTTGTAGAAATGACAGAGTTGAGAAAGTAACTGGAGTCGAGATCCCAAGACAGGACTGATCACATTGCATATCTGTCTATGGATTTTGTCGAGAATATCAAGATGAACAATGGGGTACCAGACCATATATGGCAACAGTATACCATGCATGGATGAATGGTAGAGTTGTAGATGTGAAGGATAGACTCAAACAAGAAAAACCTTGTGGTGTAAGGTAAAGAGAAGGGAAGCATTACCGTCTGGGTTACTGGGGACATGTATAGGAAAGTCAACCACTTGTATGAGAGATTGAGTGATTGAAAAGTTAAGAGTGTTGATGCCAGCGAGGTCAGTTACAGACTGTTTAAGCCACATGGTATGGTATGTGTAAAAGTCACTGAACATGAATATGTTTGCAAACGGATGTAGAGAGATGGGTTTGTCTAAATTATCAGAAATGCTATTGAGTGCACAAAAACACTTAATACTCAACTAAATATATTATGTAATTAATGTATAGTTATATATAAATTGTGTAATTGATGCATATATATATATATATATATATATATATATATATATATATATATATATATATATATTATTTATTTTAAGTTATTACATTTGATCATACAAGTTACCACTACAAAAATGCATATTTGTTTCGATGCCCAATTCAGGCATCTGATCAAAGATAGTTGTTTGAATTTATTTGTTTCATTCTCTTTACATTTGGAGATATATATATATATATATATATATGAATTTTTATATATCAAGAAAAATTTTAGGCAAAACCTATAGCAAAGTGAAAAAGTTTTTATGTACCATGTTTCATCCTTTAGGATTTCATTGGACTAAAGTTATGTTTACGTTGATGTGACTACATGAACGCAAACTAGAAGAAATGCTGGGAATGTTAAGTTTAACTTATTTTTTTTAAATATATTAAAATATATACAGTAAAACATACATTAAAAAAAAACGTTAAATCAATATATACAAGAATTAGGAAAATGTCTCCTTTGATATGCTTCACTGATGAACCAGTGTCATCAGAAAAATTTGACAAGAAAAAAATCTACTTTCCAAAGCAGTAAATATCTTTAAAAATTGTGTGTGTGTTTTTTTTTTTAAATTCCTAAAATATATCAACGTGTTTCTCCCTTAGGTGTCATGTGTGATGCATGCTTGGGCAATCAAGCTTCTTTCTATTTAACCCATAGATGGAGGAGATGGATTCATACCTTTCTCAATGGTATTTGTATGTAAGTGAATACAACAAACTCAACTGGAATTTCTCATTCCAAGCTGTTACATATTGCATATCCAAGCTTACAGCACCTGGTATTCCCAAGCAGTCACCCATCTAGATACTGGCCAGGCTCTGTTTCTTAACTTTGAGGATTAGACAAAAACCAGTGTTTCAATGTGATCTGACTGTATGTCAATGAGTACATTTATGAAAATTAAAGATTTTTACTTTCAGGTCTCAGAATATTATACAATATATACTTGCATTCATTTGGATATATGCTGTAAGAAGACCTTGCACAGAACTGTTATAAATAGTATTTGCAACCATATAGGAGAGTATGGTAGATATGGTATATGTTTATACTTGAAATTGTTTGCAGCATGTTGGCCAATCCTTCATACTCAAGCCAATGTCGATGCCAAAAAGGATGTAAACTATTAGCATATTTTCACAAAAAAATATATAAATGTCTGTAGGTGTTGTTTGTGTAGTAGTAGTAGTAATATTCTATGTGGCATATCCCTCCAGAATGTGGGTGATCATGACTCTCCACAAATTTTGTAGGTTTGTCTTTTCACCATCCCTCCTACTCACTGTTCTGCCATCCATTTACACAAGCTTGCTAAGTAGGTTACTCTGTTTCTGTCTGTCCCTCATGCCTTCAATATGTACCCTGAGTGTTAGAGGTTTACGGTCATATCATATTGAAACACTGGTTCCTGCATGATCACTGAAGTTAGGCAACATTGAGTCTGATCAGTACCTAGATGGGGGACTGCTTGGGAATAGCAGATACTGTAAGCTTGAATATGCAGGCCGTGTAATTGATAATGTCTCAGTATTCTTAAATGGAGAGCCAAGTTCAATTTGTATTCACTTACATGCGACTACCCTTGGGAAACATATGACTCCACCTCTTCTTTCCCCAGCTATGGGTTAATTATTAAAACTTGTATCACTGAACCTTTATTAACTCCCAAACTAATTCTTATAATCCCCCCCCCAATAATTTCCTCGCTTTAAATAATCTGAAATGTGTTGATATGCCATAGAAAATGAATGAATAAATCATGTGTTGGATTCTCCAGGCCCTCTTTCCTCATTATGTGTCCCAAAATTTCAACTTTCGCTTTCTGATTCTAAGTATAAGTATCCATTTTGTTTCCATTTTTCTTAAAATGCCCTTGTTGCTCACAAATTCTGTCCATAATATTCTCATCCTCCTTCTGTAGAACCATATTTCTGTTGCCTCAAAATTCTGCTTTATCTGTGAGGAGATTGCATTTTAGTGGCATTATCACCTTGCTTGGGATGAAATGATTAAAAAATAATATTGATAATGAGGGAGTTTTTAATAAAATGTTAACTAAAAGGACACTTATACTTAATCAGAAAGAGATAATTCAAATTGTTTTGAACTACAAAGAATAGAAAATTGTGGAGAGCCATGATCACATATGTCTTGAAGGAAAATGACACATAAAAAATGGAATTATCACTTTATTTGCTTTAAATTGTCTCTATATCACTACTTATACTAAAGTGAAAGAATTTAATGTGTAACTAAGTATCTATTTTATTAAGTAATACTTGTGTTTATAAAGGTTCATTTTTCAGCAACACCACACAGGTCATGTACAGTAAGTGCACATCAATTAGTAGTGTAAAAGAAAAGTAAATTTTATTTGTTACTAATAACTTTCCAATAAAGATATCATGAAAAATAGAACCTCTATGTTGGGAGAAAAGTTTGTGAAATTCATTTATCGTCACACATTTTTTTTTCTTTGTTAATAATAAAATTTGTAAATGGTAATTGTTACTATGAAAAACAAGTCCATATGATAGACTAGATGCAGACACCTTGCCTTTCCTCATCAAGAACAATTTTTGGCATTAAATCCTTCCCCTGGGTCCAATAACAATGCATAACAAATTTGAAAGCTCTGCATGGAAGGTTTTTTTTTTTTTTTTTGGCTGTGAACACTTTTCCCTGTTCTGTAAGAGAAAGATTTTTTTTTTTCACATTCAGTGTTTATCCATTTACTAGCAATTTATAAGATCACAGGTAGAATTGTGTCACAACTTCCATTTCTTCTAATGATTACAAATGCATTGGCACAACACATTCTGGTTATAGGGTGTGGACCAGAGGTGATATAATAGAGTTAGCAGGGATGATGAAACAATAATCATGATTGTATTTTAATGCCAACTGCATTTGAATTCAGTTTGCATTGGAAAAAAAGAGTGCTGAACTGTTATGTAATATCAATCTTCCTGTAGTAATTATTAACTGTAAAAAGAGAGTATATGAAATTGCCAGCAAGAGGGAGAGTCCAATTGGAGACATCAGAATTTCAACTATCTTGGTTGTGTCATAACAGATTATGGAAAATATGACACAGAGATTTGAAAGTACATTGGAATAATGAAGGATGCCATTTAGAGTCTAAACAAAATATTAATAGACAGGAACATTTTTTTAGAAACAAAGAAAAGAGTGTTGAGCTGCACTGTAATATCGATTGTCCTATATATAAAAGTGAATGCAGGATAATTTCCCCATAGATGAGATGACTTGAGATGTGTTTCTGTAGAAGGATGTTGACAATACCATGTATAGAGCATGTGAAAAACAAGGAAGTTTTAAAACAAATAACAAAAAAGATGCTTACATTTAGAATCAGAGAAAGTTGAAATTTCTAGGACACATAATGAGGAATAAAGGCTTGGAGAATTTAAAACTTATAGGACATATCAAAAGCAAGAGATGCAGATGGAAATAGTTACCTAGCAAACTTGTGTAAACAAATGTCAGAACAGTGATTAGGAGAGATAATAAAGGGACAAACGTTGCTAAAAGCTACAAAGGATAGGAATTTGTGGAGGGTCACGATCACTCATGTCCTGAAGGGACATAGCACATAAAAGAATATAAGTAGGCAAGTTTTCAGATTTTTCTATTGCTATTCATTGATGTCAACCCTTTAACATCAACACACTCATACACACCCTGTAAATATTGGCTCTCAAAATCTCATTGTTTATAGTCAGTCTCACTGTTTCCTGCATTATTTATGATGATATTGTCATATATTATGGCAGAGCAATTATGGTGAAAGTTATGGTGGGTTAAACATTGAGAGCCAATATTTAGGGGTTGGTTTTTGGATGGGTTGAATGCTAAAGGGTTAATGGTACTCAACCATTCTCCATTCTTAGTGTTAGTCATTTTATGCACTGAAAAACCAAATATTTCTAGTGATAGAGTAAAAATATTTTAGGATATGTTATGAAATTTTGTATTTGGTTTTATTTGAAATTTGTTTTGAGGATATATAAGCACTTAGTCTCTATATTATGCATTGACAATGTGAAGTGGAAGGAAGAGGGTTGACACAGGTTAGGAATTAATGCAAGCATTACTAACAGAACATGGCTATTATATGTACAATGTTAATGTATTGCTAATGGGTTTACTACAGAAATGTATCATAAATGATTTCTGAAGAGGAGATTTGAGGCAACGGATGTGGTTCTACAGAAGGATGCCAAGAATATTATTGACAGTGTATATAATCAACAAGTAAGTTTTAAAGAAAATGGAAACAAAAAGGTCATTTATATTTAGAATCAGTGACAATTGAAATTTCTTAGACACAATGAGAAAAGAAGGCTTGCAAAATCTGACACTCACAGGTTATATTGAGGGCAGGAACATCAGAGGGAGGTAGCATCTTTGAGCTTGTGTAAATAGATGGCAGAACAGGTACTGGGAGGGATAGTAAAAGCATAAATATTACTAAGAGCTAGAAAGAGTAGGAATTTATGGAAAGCCATGGTCACCCACATCCTGAAGGAAATGAAGAATTAAAATTATTAAAAGTAAAGATATTGAAAGAAAGCTAATACAAAACAAAAAGCAAAATAATAGCAGCCTGATTTCCCCTATTTACTAATGAGATATTCCGTTATTAGGGTAACATGATTATTGACTCTTGTTACCATTACAAAAGAATATCTCATTATCAAGGAGAGATCAAGCTTATAGAGATATTTTGATGAAATCATATTGTGTTTTCTGTTATAGAATAGATTATATCCAAGAGGGTATTGAAAAGTTCTTGACCTGAATGGGAAGGGCATCCAAAATAAATTTTCATATTTAGATACATTTTGGGAAGTGGGCTATTCCAACAATTTCTCTGTGATCCCTTTTTATGGATAATTATTTAATTAACTGTAATTATTACTTCTCAGGCTTACAGCCATATCACATTGAAATATAGGTTCCTGTACAATCACTGAGTTAAGCAACATTGAGCTTGGTCAGTATGGATGAGAAATACAAGGTGCTGTAAGATTGAATGTGTGGATAGTGTAATGGATAATGGTTCAGAATTCTTAATCTGAGAGTAGAGTTTCACTTCTTGTAGGGTTTATTATATTCACTTACATGCAAATACTCTTGGGAGAGGTATAAATCCACCTCTTCTCTCCATCTATGGGTTAATTAGTAAGACTTGTATCACTAAAATCATTATCTCCAAAAGAAAATTTTTACAATCTAAAAATATTTTCTGGCTTCAAATAACTTTTAATGGGTTGATATGCAGTAAAAAAAAATAATCTATCAATCATATTATTTCACTCTGAGTTTCATGGATGAGAGTGTTGTAACATACCTATGGATGATAATGGGTATGCCACCATTCCCATAAATACAGTAGTGAATACTGTATGTGTGGACCTGCTGGCCCACAGTTGGTGGTTTGTCTTCAGCTGGGCTGGTTAAGCTCTCTGCTTCTGAACAGAGAGCATCCTCAAACAGGGCTATGCTGAAGGGCAGAGGCTCGTCTTGGGAAACACCTACCCGACCCCATTTTATAGGGGCTCTATGGGGAATATTTGGCTGAGCCTACAGGCTCAGGAACCCCACATTAAATTCAGCCTTGTGCCACATTTGACTGCATGAGGCAGTTGGTAGATACCATCTGCAGTTGGAAATTCATTCACTTGACTGACTTTTAGCAGTTGACTACTTCTATGTGCAGCTGGCAAATCTTATATGTGTGGTTCTTGTCCTAAGTATTATTGTTCATTACCAACCTTCATGTGATTATTCTATTCAATAACCTGAATTATTCTATTCAGTAAGTACAGGGATGTATGTTATGGCCATAGGAAAGTGACTGAAGCTGAGATGCCAGTTCAGAACCAATAACATTTCAGATTCAGTAACAGAGAATATCATTATTCTATATTGATTCATTTGAATTTGTATATTCATTTGGTTGTTAAAGTCATGACATTTCGACTTGTAACCTTTGGCCTTCTTCAGATGACTGTAATACTTGGTAATAATCTTAGAATTTTGAACCGAGTCCTTTATTCATTCCATATTCTCATTCTGTAACCCATAATCAAGGATATCTTGTACTAATTCCTTTTTAGGATCTCACAGATGTAACATTGCAAGCCTATCACTGTTCTCTCACTATTTCCATAGAAAATGTTCAGATGAACTACATTCCTTAGTTCCACCAGTTCTATCTAAACTTCATGGCTAAGACCTGCCATACACATTATAGTGAACCACCCTCATTCCCTTCCTATTTCATTGGTGAGATGTAAGTAACACTCAAGCAGTTTCTTCTCATGAACCACTACTTTATGGAATTGACTTCAAAGAGGATGCTTCCCTGATCACTACAATCTTAACCTTTTCAAGTCTAGGGTCAATTATTATTTCCCCTACATATCCCCGTAAACTGTGCCTCTTATTCTGTAACCCTCTAT